AATACCTATTGTATAAGGTGATACAAAAATTAAATTATTTCCTGGTGCAGAGCAGATATTTAATAAAAGTTGATTTTGGTAGTGGTTGTGATGATTGCGATGGTACTACTGCTACTACTACTAGTACTACTACCACTGTTGTTATTGTTGTAGTTATTATTATTATTATGTTTTTTCTTTTGCCCATTTTTCTGTTGTGTTTGCATGATATTTTCAGAAATGCAAGGATAAACATGATTTAAAAAGAGTGGAAATTAATTAAATCAGAAAGATCATTGCAGTTATGGCACACAGGAGTCATAGTAGATTTTCCCTGTCTGCCGCGTCATATTTGCACTCATTTTAAAATCGAATTATTAATTGAAGTTAAAATAACACCTACTTCAACTATACATCTGGATAAAATATGTTTTTATGTAGGGAGATCATAATTCTTATATTTGTATGATATATTTAAACAAGAGTTGGGTATTTACTTGTTGAATATACATATATGTATGCATGAAGTTACATATATGTATGCATTTTCAATTTGGTTTTAATGCTACTATTATTAGCTTTATTTACCCTGGCTTTGTATATAGTGCACTTAATAGAAAGTGTCATACTTTTACTTCTCCCCATATTTCTTATCATATGTTGTGAAACATTAGTTGATGCTGATTCAGAGATACAGTGTTCTCTAATGTGGAACTATGGCTTCCAATAACAAAAAGAGAATTTGCTGAGTGATATGCGTGTATTCATTTAAGCTATATTGTTATTGATAAAGAAATTATAAATGTTAGATAACTTTTGAAGATGCTTCTATAATTAGTAGTTTATATACGACCATGTTATTTAAGAGTATAAGTAGACATTTCAGTCTTGCGTAGCATGGTGTACTCATCTAGACTAACACATAGTGTAGGTGTTCAACAAGTATTTGCTGGCTGGCTGACTGGATGAATGACTGAATGAATGAATGGTGTTGATGATGACTTTAGGAATCAGTCTTTCTCACTGGAATTTTGGATAAAGTAGTTAAAAATTGTATTATGTGAATCATTCACTGTTACTCATTTATAATATCTTAATATTTGCTACAAATTACAAATATCTTGTCACATGTTCTATGTATCCACCGGAATAGTGTAAATTAATAGGAGATTTCTGAACATTGACTAAATTAGATTGAGGAAAGAACATAACCATGTTTACTTTATTTATGCCGATGAGCATCCCTCAGTTGTAAAGGAATAAATTTATAGTATAATTGCATGCAAAAATCCATGTATTAAAGGAAATATAAGAATACTCAGTTGGCATTTTATCTTAGATAATTACTATCTTGATGTTAACATATCTTTAGTAATAATACGAATGTCTTTATTATTACATCATTATCTTCCTACAGTGTTTTATAATGTTCCATTATTATTTGCTCGATTAGCAGTGCCAGTTTATGTACTCATATTAATCCATTGGCATCAAACCCAGTGGCTATATGGTTTTTCATTTGCACGGGGAGAGATCACATTTGACAGGATGTCTCATTATGAACCTGAGGACTATAGGGCCATTGATGACAAAATTAGTTCTTGAAGATTTTATGTTGAGACTTATAATCTCTTCAATCACAGCCAAATAATTTCAAAGAATTATAGAATCCTACACTTTTACGTTTTTAAATTAATTTTTATTTTTTATAAGCACATTTAACATGAGATATACCCTCTTAACAGACTTTCAAGTGCACAATATAGTGTTGTTAACTATGGGCACAATGTACCACAGATCTCTAGAACTTATTCTTGCATAACTGAAGCTTTATTTCACTTGAATAGCAGCTCCCCATTTCCCCCATCCTCCAGCCCCTGGCAACCACCATTCTACTCTTTGCTTTCATGAGTGTGACATTTTAAATGCCTCATATAAGTGGAATCATGCACTATTTGTCTTGTGACTCTCTTATTACACTTAACATAATGTCCTCCAGGTTCATCCATGTTGTTGCATATGGTGGGATTTCCTCCTATTTTAAGGCTGAATAATATTCCATTATGTGTGTGTATGTGTGTATGTATCACATTTTCTTTATCCATTCATTTGTTAATGGACACTTAGGTTGTTTCCATATCTTGGCTATTGTGGATAATGCTACAGTAAACATGGAGGTGCAGGTTTCTCTTTGAGATTCTGATTTCAGTTCTTTTAGATATGTGCCCAGAAGTGGGGTTGCTGGATCATATGGTAATTCTATTTTTAATTATTTGAAGACTCTCCATAATTATTTTATGGAGAGATTGCACCATTTTATATTCCTATGAACAGTGTACAAGAGCTTCAGTTTCTCCACGTCCTCACCAACTCTTTTGTTTTTTTGATAATAACCATCTTAACAGTTGTGGGGTGATACCTTATTCTGGTTTTGACATCATTCCTCTGATGATTAGTGATATTGAGAGTATTTTTATATACCTATTGGTCATTGTATGTCTTCTTTGAAGAAATGTCTATTCTTCAAATGGAATTGTTCATTTTTAAATCAACTTATGAAATATTTAAGGTTTGTAAGCATTAGAAACATGTAAGCATCTTAGGACAAGTGGCATTTTGTAGTCATTGTGAATGCAGGGAATTTTTAGTATATGAAGTCTTTAATACTATTTGGGTAAGTTTGGATATGCCATTGCTTCACTTCAAATTCTCTGTCTAAGCTCATGGTTGTGATTAGTAAGGGATGCTTTTAAAGACAAGAAAGCCAAAGGCAGTAATAGCCACTGGTCAATATCTACAGATCATGGCAAAAACTTGATTGTTTCTGAAAGCCTGTCTGGTTAAGGGGCTATTTTAAACTAGCTTTGCTCTAGTAATTCTCAGAACAGTAGTGCCCTTTCATGGAATTTTTACCATTTCTTGAACCCAGGATAAAGCCAAATTGCATAATACTAGGAAAATGTATTAAGACTCAAAAAAAAAAAAAAACTGTGAACTTTAGATATTTCAGACATCTAATCTTAATTTTAAACAACTTGTTCACTTAAAGAAAGGAGAGGTTCAAATACATTTTAATGAAAAAAAATGTAAAAATATGAAGGCATACAAAATGAGCATTATATATGCTTAGATTAGTCAGGAGTCTGTTAGTTTTCAGTCTGTTAATATATCCTTTGTACAATAGCATTTTTTTTTCTATATATGCTTGGTTAACCAGTCTCCCATAGTGAGGTTTAAGACATACCGAGAGACGAGGATAGTTTTCTTGACTATTGCTTTGAGTCAAAATTACTGAGTGATTCTAGAAGTAATTTTAATACTATTTAGATAATTATTTTTATTTACAAAGAGAATGACTCTTAGACTGTCATTTCTTTATGTAGAGTTGTCTTAAGCTGGAAGTAGCTTGAAAATTAGAATAAATGAAAATGCTGATTATTGGATAGGAAAGACGCTATGCTCTTAGAAAGATCCTTTGAGTAACATTTTTGATGATTTTAAAAGAAATACATTAAAAGTCATTTTTTCTTCCAGTAGTAGCAATAACTCTACAGTGTTGAGTAAACATGGCAAACTACTTGTTACCTGTCATAAGATTATGATTTTCAAAGTAATTACTATCTAGCCTGCTAACTCTGCATCGCGTTAGATTGGTCATACTGGTAATGCTTAGGACTTTAGGTATTCAGATAATTTATTTTATCTGTTATGTTTTTAGTAAGTTTATTTAATTTACATGTATTTTGCACCGCTAAAACAAAGGGGGTTCTTAATGGACTTGCAGTATTCTGATGCATTCTGTAACACGTCTAGAAAGTTTTCCAGATGCTGACATCTTTGGACACATAGCTTAGCAAAAATATACTGTGGTCGTGTGTTGATTTTCCTCTAAAGAAAATCAATAACTCATTTGTGACCTTCTTAACAAAGATCAGACAAATTAAAATAATAAAAATAATTATTGCCTGAAAATGAAGTTATAATTTTAAAAGTAATAAAGAAACAGCAGAATTATGGCCATATGATTCAATGATTGAAGTTTAGGAGCATGAGTATGGAGGCAAGAGCATATCACTCTACTTGATTGGAAAAAAATATTGTCTTTTCTCAAATTTTTTCATGGTCCAATTACCTACAGCCCTATTGTTATATTAGAGGAGTTAAGCTACCAACACATGAGTACAATGGAAGGGTTTAAGGATTTGACATAAAGCTTCATTTTCATAGCAGACAGCCATATTGTTTTTCACTTTGTTTTTTGGGATAGCTTATTTGGGGGAGGGCTAATGGGGGTAATGGGGAGCTAAAACCACTCTGTCATCTCCACTCCTCACCATTTCAAGTCATTTTTACTGTTTCAAACTAGAAGGTTACCTTCTGAATACAGCATAATTATGTGTGTGTGTGTGTGTGTGTGTGTGTGTGTGTTTTGTTTGTTTGTTTGTTCAAAGAAAGTAAATAGTACTAAAAAAAAGGTGAAGGAGACAAGTCTAACTCAAAAGACCACGTCTCTGATGTTCATTAATTATGTCAAATGGGTG